CTGGTGAGCTCTGCCCCACCCCCCCGTGGGAACCATGGCTACCATTTCCTGACGTCTCTGAAGCCACTCGTGGGCCCGAGCTGAGCGGACGGGCAGGTGGGGGAAGTGTGATCCGGAATCCGAGGCCGGCCCATTTCTAAGCTCCATGAGAAGCGGGGTGAGGCCAGCCCTGACCCCTGTACCCACCTGGGCAGTGACTTTTACTGACAGCCGCTCCCGGCCTCCGAGGCCTGCTGTGTGCCGGCTCTGGGCGGGTCGCACAGCCTGTCCCCTCTAATTCACTCCTCATAGCAGCCCAAGGAGAGCAAGGATGCCGATTCCCTTAAATGTGGAAACTGAGGCTCAGAGACGGCAGGCGGCTAGCCCAAGGTCACCCAGCAGAGCCTGGATTCCAGCCAGACACTAAAGCCTGAGTTTTAGCCGATTCCCTGGGCAGCTGCTGTGTGGACTCCAGCCTGTCGGGGGCCGAATCCCGGCTGAAAGCTGGAATTCGCGATCTGGGTCAGAATTAGGGCCAGCCCGGAGTCACCTCCCAGAGCAGGAGAGGGGACCCGCTGAGTCAGTTCCGGAGAGACGTCTGAGACGTGCGGGAAGTGTGGGCGAGGTGTGGGTGGGTGTCTGGACCCTGGACTTCCGAGAATCTCCCCGGAGGGCTTGGGGCTCTCAGCCAGGGTGGCCGCCAGCCAGGAAGCCGGGGACTCGGGATTCTGGGCCTGGATTTCAAAGCTGGGGCTGCTTCCTTACTCTGCCTCTTCAGGCAGGAGCTCATTGTGAATTTTAAAATAGCAAGTAGAGAGCAACGGGAGATGCAAAGCGGGGAAGAGCCTGTCTGAACCAAAGCATGGCAGGCTGCGGGAGGAGCCTTGTTGGACCCAGTCTCAGCCCAGAGGTTGAATCTTCCCTGCAAAGGCTTGCACTTCAGGGCTGGGTGTGGTGGCTCACGCCTGTCATCCCAGCACTTTGGGAGGCTGAGGAGGGAGGCTCGCTTGAGGCCAGGAGCTCAAGACCAGCCTGGACAACATAGCAAGACCGTGTCTCTACAAGAAAAAAGAAAAAATAAGGTTTGCACTTCAGTCCTATGTTGGGCAAACACTGTCCTAATAGAGGAAGCCTGGACCTGGGACCCTAACCTCAAGTGGTGGCCTCCCCATTCTGGTCCCTGGTTTCTGGTCTATGCAATGGAGCGTTTTGACTGGGCGGGGCGGCTCACGCCTGTTATCCCCGCACTTTGGGAGGCTGAGGTGAGAGGACAGCCTGAGAACCGGGGGATCGAGACCAGCCTGGGCAACTTGGGGAGACCTCATCCCTACAAGAAATCAAAAAATTAGCTGGGTATGGTGGTGCATGCCTGTAGTTCCAGCCACTTGGGAGGCTGAGGCGGAAGGACCGCCTGAGCCCAGCAGGTCGAGGCTGCGGTGGCCGTGAGCATGCTACTGCCCTCCAGCCTGGGCAGCAGAATGAGACTCTGACTCAGGGGGGAAAAAAGGAGCTTTGTTGGTGTCTGCAAACCCCAGCATGTGTCAGAAGACACAGGGTGCTGGTTAAATGCAGGGTCCATTTTAAAATAAGCACCCCGGTGATCGGCCCTGGGGGCCGGGCCTCGTCTTGGCCATCTCTGGGCGAGAGGCAGCCGTTGAAATTCAAGGTGTCCAGGAAGAAATGTCTTTCCCTCTCCCCTTCCTCCTCCCATATGCTTCAACACGTTTTTTCTACTTCCCTGCCCTTTGCCTGTCGTGGACACCCCTCGGCTTTGCCTACAGCAGAAGGTCAAAGCTCCCGGATTTGCCAGAAGGCTCCCGGAATCTCCAACTGACTTCCCGCTTCCCGGCCAAGGAATTTGTAATTGGCATTTTCGGTTTTTCCAGGGCTGCTGGGGGCAGGGCTCGGTGCGGCCGCCCTGCCACCTGGCGGTCACTCCTGGGACTGCGGGGTTTCCAGAGCCAGGCACGTGCCGCCGGGTGCCCAACCCCAAGGGTCCTGGGCAGAGGTGGGAGTAGAGGGGCTTGGGAGGGAGGCGGGCCGCCCCACGCTCCAGTCGCCAGGCCCTCCGGGGCGACTCGCAAATTAACTCGGGTAAGGGGAGGCCCTGCTACCCAGAACCAGAATTGCCGTCGGAGTTGACGTTCCCAGCCAAGGTCTCCATCCGTGCCACCAAAGGGTGGCGGTCAGAGAATTCTAGGCAACTCACGGCCCTTGGCTGGACGGCTGTGCCCTCGTCTCTACGATGAGGCCTTTCCCTTACGGTGGCAAGATGACATGAGGCGGTGAGTGGGCCTGGCAATAGATATTCGCCGCAGCCATGCCCATCCTCATGGCCACCATCACCGTCCCCGCCATCACGCCCGAACCCTTGTTCTTCCGTTTTTTCTTTTCCAGCTGAAACCGCAGTGCTTGAGATCCAGCTGGGATCACAGGGGTTCCTTGTTCGGCTCCTCCCTCTAATCCTGGAAGAATCTGGAGCTGGCAGAAGGCAAGATACTTTCCTAAGTTCCTGCTGCAGTAGAGACAGTGCTCTCCGGGGTCTCGGACCCTGACTCCAGCTGGCTTTTTTCCCGTGCCTTGGTGAAGATGCCCAGTGAGCCATCAGAAAGTCCAAGAAACAGTAACCATAGAATATCAAATTACCTGGAGAACAGGCCTCAGCCCGCTGGGCAGGAGTGACGGGCGAGAAGGGCCGAACGGGATCTTATTTCTTCCGTCTTTACTTCCTCCGTGAGGGGCATAACTTTGGGGTCCTCCCCGCAACTCCCTGCCCAGAACGCCTCAAGCTTCAATCTCTTCTTTCTTCTCTTCAAGCGTAGAGCCCCGGGACCTTTTATGCATTACAAAAACTCACCTGCGAGCCTTCCTAAATTTACCTGTGTGCTTTTTTGCAGGGAGGAAGGATGAAGGGCACCTCCCTGACTCCACTTTCCTGTCTTTTCTTACAGCATGCATGTTGTAAAAATCACACTCATGTAAGGAAGGAAAGGAAAGCCCCTTTCTTCTGCCCTGGCCCCAACAATCCCACGCCCAGAGGAACCCAGGTAAACACCTTTTTCCACTTATTCCAAAATAGTCAACAGACGAGGGGGACCCGAAAAACCCCAGAATGTGTTTATAACAAACTGTGTATTTATTCTTACCTGTTTACACTTCAATCACCTTCAAGGTACTCTCTGTTTGATGCAATACACCGGTCGAGATGCTCTTTTCACTGCTCGGAACAGTTTTTAAGCTCATTGATTTTGATGTCCTTTGGTGCTTTTGCTGTTTTTTGTTTCACCTCTTCCACATCGGCCAAGCGTTTCTCTTTGAAAACTTTTTTTTCATCCGGGAAAACGAAAAGAAAAAGTCACTTGGAGCAAGATCCAGTGAACAGAGAGGGTGGGGTCTGGGGGTCATTGCCATTTGGGGTCAAAAACTGCTGAACAGTGTGGTGGGGGCAGGTGTGCTTGTAAACCACCCGTCACGAAATGGGCAGACGTGGAGAGAATCTCCAAAAAATTCACTGAAGCCAAACGCACTGATGCCGATGGGTTCCTAGAACTCACACCTAGCAGGGGAAACCTGGCCTACGAGGGACCTACCCTCCAAAAAATAATTCCGAGTTTTTTTGGGTCCCCCTCGTAAATGATTATAATTCGTTGTCTGTGCTTGAAAAAGCCCTAATATACATGGTGAACAGCCCAGATGACCGGGACGAGTGTCAGGTGACAAGTGACAGTCCTTTCCCCCCCATCCCCCCCAAACGCACCAGGGTACAGCCTTCCAGAAAAATCTCAATGCGTCTTCAAACATTATGCACAAAGTTTGAAGACGGTCAGATAGGTAGTAAATTCACGT